ACGAAAAACGGAACCAGCCAATCGGAACCGGACAGGACGGCGCGGGAGATCAACCACTCGCACCAACAAGCAATGACGCGGCTAAGTGCATCCCCCCCCCCCCCCCCCCCCCCCCCCCCCCGCGAAGCGGGTGCCCCCTGGCCGGGGGGGGAGGCGGGCAGCTTGGAGATCGGCGCGCACCCGATGGTCCGAGTGTGTGTCGGAGGGCAGTGGCGCAGGGCCTGGCGATAGTAATGCACCGCGTCGTGTACATTGGCCGGTAGCAGGGCACGAGCCACCTGCTGGTAGAGGAGTGACAGGTCGTAGTCGCCGAAAAACCGGGGGTTCAAGGACAGGAGCATCAGGCCGGAGGTCCTCTTGAGGCAGAAGACCGGCTGGCCGTCCACGGTTAATGGCAGGCGCCGACTGAACTGGTTGTGCGCGGTTTCCAGCTCACGAGAGAGCTTCCGGATCGGGTCCTGCAGTGCAAGTCTCTGCACCATGGCATATAGGGCCAGGGAGGCACGCAAGCGCACTCCGGCCAGGTTGCAGGGGGCATTGATGCCCAGGATGGCTTCCAGGAGGCTGAGGAATTGGCTGGAACAGCGTACGACATTGCCATGGGCCAGGCCGGCGGATATGGCCCCATAGCGCAGGTCGGTCAGGGCGGTGCGCAAAAGCCACCCAAGTAGCAGGGCCGCCGGGGGCAGAAGGCCAGAGGGCTGGGAATGGGAGCCACTGGCCGAGCAGGCATCGGACAGGGCATCCACAAGGGTGGTGGCAAATGTGTTCATCGCGGCCGTGAGCTGAAGCTCGGCATCCGTGGGGGTGCCCTGCTGGTCGGTCTGAATGAGGGTGGACGCCAGAGGGGGGTGGATCTTCCAGCCATCAGGCGAGTGTCGGCGATGGAGTTCAGCCGGCCGCGGCTGCCGGGACAGGAAGGCCTCAGCCAACGGGATGAACAGCCGACAGCGGGTGATGTGCACCGTGGCCAGTTCGTTGTACGGTGCCGGAAGGGGCTGCATCGGTGACAGCAATGCGGTCACCGGGAGTGGGCCAAGTGGTGTTTGGGGGGTTTGGGGGGTTTGGGTTTGCGTGCGGGCGTGAGCATGGTTGGACTGTTGGGCCTGGGTGTCAGCAGGGGGACAGGCGCACGCTTGTGTCAACGCGAGCAGGGTCCAGCCGGGCCAGTTGCTCAACGAATGTTGACGATCGGAGGCTCAGCAGGCGCTGAACATGGAGACGGTGCTGGCGTTCGCTCGGTGTCGGGGTCCGGGGGTCACCACCGCCCTGGAAGCAGGCCTGTAGACTTCCGAGGAGCTGCTGCTTCCACTCGAGGAAGAATGCGGCTGGGTCGCTCATTCGCTTCAGGGGTGAGGGGGGGGGGAGGGGACCAGGGCGCGGGGATGGCGAGCGATGGGGAGGAGATGGCAAAGAGGAGCAAAGGGGCGTCAAAGGAGGGGGACGGGGGGAGGCCGACGACTGGCGAGCGGCTGGAAGGGCTGGCTTTCGCGTGAGGAGGCGAGGCCCGCGCCGGCGGGCCTGCCCTTTGCTTGGACCTGGCGGCGGGCGGGTGCTGCCGGCTGATTGCGAGGGGGACTTGTGGGGGGTGGGACCCGGCGGCATCTCGCCTCACCGAGGGCCGTGCGGGACTGCCATCGAACAAGACACAATCAAATGTTTCTGGCGAAAAAGCGATTTTCGCCCCGGAGGCATGTGATACCAGGAGGGCGCCAGAATTTGCTCGCCACCCGCGGACTCGGGACTCGGGTCATAGAGGCGCCCGGGCGATGGCCACCTTGCCTGAGGACCGGACACAGAGATACTTGAATTCCTCGGAGTGATCCTTACAGAGTCCTTGTGGCTCTATTAGGAACTGACCCCTGAGGCCAGAGGTATCTCAGATCAAACGGCCTCATCAGCCATCCCGCTTAAAACCATTACCTGTGTGGCTCCGTCGTGTGACCTTAACGGGTCCGTGATGGACATGACTAGGCGATGACCTGGGCTGGGAGACATTTCCCTCTTTCTTCTTTCCCTCTCCTTGCCTCCTCCTTCTTCCATTAAATAATCGAACTTCCGCCCTCCCTTTCTCTCTCCCTCTGTGAAGCGGCCTTGTGTGTCGGCTCTCCTTCCTTGCTCCGATCGGGACGCATGCTTGCTCTTCTTTTCTCTTCGCTGTGTGTGTGCATGCCTGCTGCACAGGGAGGAGAGGGGGGCGAGGGGGCGGGGTGGTCACATTGGGGTGCATGTGGGGGCACGCTCCGGCTCTCGCGCAGTCGATCTTTTGCCTGATCTCCGGCCAGGGGGAGAGGGAAGCGCGCGTGTGTTTGTGTGTGGATATATTCTCCCCATCTTGGGCGGGGACGCGGGAAAGATCATCAAGGACATAGGTTCGAAGATAGGAAGTACAGGAGAGAGAGGGAGGGAGAGAGGGAAAAGGCAAAAAAGAGGAACAGCCCGCTCTCAAGCATCGTGGTCTTTGGCTGACGAAAAGCCAGCCATGCCCGGCGGGGAGAATCGCCGACCGACGGATTGGCGATCGCGACCGGCCGCGAAGTCGCTCGCTGGATGAACTTGCCGCCCAGCTGCCAGGGATGGTGCTCCATCGAGTGAGGCATGCAGAGGATGATGGTCTGGCAGGCTGCTGCTGTTACCGGGCGGGATGGTGGTGGCGGTGCCGATGGCCGAAAGTGCCGGGGACATGTGCGGGGTAGGGGCTGCTCCTGGACCCATGCCGCTGGTGGTGGCCGTGTAGGCCATGGGGATTGCGGTGGCGGTGGTGGCAGCCGGGGCCGATGGCTTTTTCGATGGCACACCATACTCATCCACTGACACATTGGGCGAAAGGTGGATCATTTGGATGGGGGGCTCCTCGTGCCGAGGGCCGGGCTGCTGGGAGAAGAAAAGGTGCTGAGACCCCGGGGCGGATGGTGACAGTGGCATTCCCAAGTGCCCGCCGCCATGGGCATATCCCTGTGACAGGAGCTGCCCGGCAAGCAGCGGCGACCCGGTGGCCCCGGGGGCCCCGGCGCCAGCTGGCGATCCGCCACTCTCGGCACCATCCTGGACCTCGCGCAGGAAGAACATCACCTGCGCCGCGGAGAAGAAGGTGGCCATCGCGCCAAGGACCACGGACCAGCCGCGGGCCGTGGTGAAGAGCATCACCAGAATCCGGTGGGTCCCGGCCAGGCCGGTGCTGAAGCCAATCAAGTTGATGGCCATCATGAAGAAGATATTGCATGCGGCGGTGATCGCACACAGATGGCGGTAGTACCACCGATCGCGGAGCCACGCCTGGCGCGGGTGTCGGGCCCATGTGGTGAGCAGGGTTTCCGGCACAATGACGATGGCCAGCACCCAGCCCCATGCCAGGAGCGACAGTTCCAGATCATGCCACAGGGCGGTGAAGGTGAACACCAGCAGGGTATTCCGCCACCGATGGGCCGACCCGCCCAGGGGCACATACAGGTACCGGACCAGCCAGCGGTTGAAGGACCGATGCCACTCGCGCCAGAATGACTGCAGGCTGTAGTTGTTGGACATGCAGCGGCCCATGTTCTCCGGAGTGTCGATGCCATCGATCAGGGCAAACAGCCGGGCGAAGCGCCAGATGGTGAAAAATTTCAACCAAATCAGATGCAGAGCAAAGTACCCCAGCAGGCCGGTCCTGCCATCGGGGCGAGGCCAGTGGCGGTGGATTTGCATTTGCGCACACGCCACGGGCCATTGGGTAGGCATGTGTGTGTGTGTGTGTGTGTGTGTGTGTGTGTGTGTGTGTGTGTGTGCGTGTGTGAGATGGAGGGGGATTTTCCGGTTGTGCGAAGACAAAGGCCGAGAGGACATCCACGTACGCAAGTGCATCCAAAAGCTGGTAGGCGCCGGAGCGTGTCACAGCCCATGGCCACAGGTAGTGCGTGAGCACTTCCATGAGGGCCAAGCCGAAGCAGGCACGCAAGGCATAGAAGACGAGCCACCAGCCACGAACTGCCGTCTGCCCCGCGTGCGTTCGAGTCTGGTGGGCATACCCATTGAATGAGAGGATGGGGCCGGCGATGAAGAGTGGCGGGTAGAGAATGTAGCCGAGGTACAGCACCAATGACCGGTACATCTCGGGTGAGCAGTCGGTGCGCATGTGCTGCTCCAGGGCACCGGGCGAAGAGGCAGGGGCCTTGTGGCGGGTCGATTCTCCCAGGGCCGAGGTCTTGGACTGGCTGCCAGGCGGGAGGGACCCCTCACGCCGACGGCACGCGGCCCAGTGGTAATCCATGGCATAGCTGACCAAGCGCAGCATGGTCAAATTGTAGCCGGAGCGCCAGCTCTGCATGCCGGACAGGCTGATATCCAAGCGATAGAATACCGTCCGAAGCCCCACCGCCTGGAAGGCATCCCCGAGAACCGGAATGTCAAGTAGGGTGGAATACTGGAAGAAGTTGGGGCCGAGCCACTCCGACAGCAGGAGCACCAGCAGGTTGTAGGTCCAGATGGCTGCCGGGGCGATGCGCGGCCGGCGGGCCACCGCCCTGGCAAGCAGATAGTTGCCCAGGATGAAGGCCAATGGAAAGACCACATGGGACTGGAACATCACCAGGACCAACAGGCCACCGGCCACCGCATGCCAGACCACCAGAGGCCCAGCGGGCGGAGAGGTCGAGGCACCGGGCTTGCCGCGGTTTCGGCGGTCAGTCAAGGCCCGGAGAAGAGCCCCGACGAGGACGATGGCCCCGGTTCCACCGAGCAAGAGGGGGATGTTGTTGCGGTACGCGCGCCATTGGTGATCGGCCAGATCGATCAGACGCCCGCGCAGAATGTTCTCCGTGAGCCAGCTCCCTCGCAGGAACCCCCGGCAGGACATCCGCCCGCCGGTCCCCCGAGCCAGGCAGATGGTGGTCAGCTCTCTCGACGCCCATGGAGTCAGGGTTGCCAGAACGGCCACCAGCACGCATACATAGATCGCCAGCTCGAGCAGCCGCCATGTGGGCAGGCGTCGGACGCGCGTCAGGGCGCCCATCTTCCGGCCGCTGGGGATTCGGGCGATCCGAGGGGCTACGCGGTCGAGCGTGCAGTTGGCAGAAGAGGGGCAGAGCTTGAGAGGGGGAGAGAGAGAGAGAGAGAGAGGGAGGGAGGGAGGGAGGGGGGGGGGCACGGGAAGGAGGGGCAGGGAGTAGAAGGAGAAGAGGGCGGTATTTTGGGGGAGTGCTGTTCGAGGAGGCCCCACCTCTCCTCAGGGAGACGGCCCGGCCAAAAGTTTTCCCCCGCCTGGGGAAGATTGCTTCCACAGCCCGGGGGCAAGGGGACGGGGACGGGGACGGGGGGGGCGGGGCCGGGGGCGACGCGGATAACTAGAGCGGCCCAATGTCTTCCCCCCGCCCGTGTACACCGCCCAGGGCGCCCCCCTGTCCTGAAACCCCCTGACCTAGGAGCTTTAATAGATTGCTGATGTGCTTTTCAGCCGGTCACAGGTTGGGGCAGGGAGCTACATCTGACCGGGGGGGAGCGGCGCGGGCGTGGGAGGGGCGGGTTGCTTCATGCTCGCGCTGGCACGCGTGTGCGAGGAAAAACACCTTCAGGAGACTGCGGCGTTCCGGGGATATACGCTTGGGGGCGAGTTGCCTTGACGGCACTCCGGAAGCGTGTTGTCCGACGCCCCAACCACCAGTCAGGCTGTTCGCGCGCGCGCGCGCGGCGGGG